CACAACCGCTTCCAGCTGCTTCGTACACGCGTCACACATCCAAAGGCTTTGCATTTGTTACACACCAGCCAGCCAGTATGTTGAACACATTAAGAGTGCCAGAGGCTTGAAAATGCACCACAAAAGTATTTCTGCACGCTCAACCCTTTCTGCTCTCGTTCAACTCGAAGGTGCCAAAATGCTTCATTAGCAAAACAACCGATTTAAAGCTGATGGTGGCCATCGTGAAGCTAATCGAGCTTTCAGTGTGCCTGATACGTGAAGAAACAGAGGAGGTGGCTGTTCCATGCTACACGTCTCTCTGGTCTCCACTGCAACAATAAACAAAGAGGCTCGAAGCCGTGTGTGTCTTCACAAAAATACACAAGCTGTTAGGAGATGGGACTTGTGCACAGCAGCTGGGTGGACAATGAATTTGCAGGAACTTATTACAACCTAAATAAGGGCTTTTTAAAAGTTTATGTTCCGACTATGATCACGGCCTACTCCACAACAGGCCACACCCTCTCCTTTATGTCCATCAAACACATCTCTCTGTTCCTGCTGAGGGATTTACATGATTTACAGAGGAATGAATTACAAGCTGCGTGGACAAAGAGGTCCCATTCTTTATCGCACTGAGAAGATTCATCTAATGGTTACACAGTATGAGGTATAGAAGAAAACACATCCAGGGGGTTAGTCCGAGAGCTTTTGTTATCATGATAATTAAAGTTACAGTTATGGTCAAAAGTATACATACACTCATTATACGTCCAAATGTCACCATTTGGGACTTTCAAGAAGCCAGTTTTGATGCCCTGTTGGAACATCAAACTCACTTTGAATACAGGTGTACAGTAGTCCCTCGATACTTGGCGGTTCGACTTTCGCGGACTCACTGTTTCGCAGGTTTTCAACGTAAGATTGTACACGACACACGATTGGCTGATTGATAGAAGGCGACCAACCAGAGCATTGTGCTCTGTATCCCAGGCGTTGATTGGCTCAGTAACCATTAGGCCTGTCACGATAACAAATTTTGCTGGACGATTAATTGTCTCGGAAATTATTGCGATAAACGATAATATTGGTTGAAATTAGACAAAAATTTGTAATTGTCAAATTTAAGAAGAAATTGTTTATTTTTGTGTGTAGTACCTTTTTTTGACCACTGGATGGCATTATAAGATATTTGAACCGAAGGATGGATAGTGAGGGAGCCAGCAGCGTGTCTCTTTAAGAAAAAGGGAAGGAGGCCCCTTGACATGACATGGGCTGTCTCTTGTTCCTTTTTTCAGTTCTCAAAATGGCGGACGCTCAGTGTGGTTTGAGCTCTTTAGCATAGCATTTGTCTCGCAAAGCTTTAATAAAAAATCTGTAAACAAGTTCTCAGCTTCTTTTTGCAGAGAAAAACAACTTTTTAGACTAAGACACGGGTTTCAACTGTGAATTTTGGAGCGTTGACAAGACGGAGGTTTTTCCCCGAGGTCGGCCTGTTAGCTTAGCTTCTCAGCTTAGCTGCTTTTAACACTCCAAAAACACGATTTTGGACTTAAAACAGATTTTAAAGAGAAAGGGAGGGGTCAGTGAAGAGCACCAGAGTTGAGCCTTTTGTCATCCAGTGTCTTCAGTAGAAAGAGGGAGACACGAAGAAACGATAAAGTCGATAAATGAAAATGCAGTCGATAATTTTCATTTATCATGTGATTAACTGATTTATTGTTTATCACAACAGGCCTAGTAACCATAACATCAGTCTGTCTAGTCTCTTTCACTGTGCTCTTTAAGGTCCGGGCAGCCGGTCCCCAGACCTCCAGGGTCCATATGGCCCTCCCCACTCTCCTTTCCTCCCTGTCCGCACACCTCTGGGCACGCATCTGTGGGGCGCCTTCTTCCGTCGAGCCTGTGATGCTCGCGGCTGCTAACGGAGACCTTCCTCTGCGCTGCCCGAGTCCTTGCGCTCGCCTCCCCAGGATCAGCGGAGAAGATCTGCTCCAGCGGGGGAAGAAGGGCGGAGGCCACCTTGCGGGCGACACGTCAGCCTTCTGGGAGCGCCCCAGCTGCTGCTGTCGGACTTTAGCGCCTGCCGCCTCGAGCGCTTACCTGGTGCAACACTCACTATATCAAAAAGGATGAAATATACACATGTACTGTAAAATAAAAATAACATCCCTACTTCGTGGATTTTCACCTATACTGCGGGGTGTCTGGAACATAACCCCCACGATAAGTGAGGGACTACTGTAGTACTCCTTCAGTATTCAGTTTACTTTGAATTGTGCACCAGTACCACTGCATGATGCTACCACCACCATGCTTCAAAGTAACTGAAGTGTTCTTAGAGGTTTTAGGTGCTACTTCTTCTTTTTGGCACCCTCTCAGTCCACGTAAAACTCCCTTCAATGTGTACAGGGGCACTGATGTTCCAGCAGTTTCCAATTCATGGCCAGCATGAACCTTGGTGGTTCCTGGGTTGTACCTGAAGGTCCGAACCAATTTTCTTTCCTTTTAAGATCTTCGCTGAGTTCTTCGGATTCACCCATTGTTCTAACTGTTGGTCGGTCCAAGAAGAGCTGCCAAACAAAACAATTTTAATGCTAGAGAAGAGAAACTAACACTTGCAGTCAAACATGAAGTCCAAAAGCCTCAGTCATGTTGGGTTAAATGACATTCTGCAACCTTCAGCACCACTTTAGATTTCATGTATGTATATATTTGAGCCTGTGTGTTCAGCATGTGCGCATTAGAGAAAACACTAAATAAATTCAAACTTGTGAAACCACTTGTTGTTATTAAAAACGATAGAAGCTGTATGATGTATTACCATTCAAATACATAACTAAAAGCCACTAATTAAAATTGCACTCATGCTCAAGAAGGGTGCATGTAAACTTTTGACTGCCGCTGTATTTATTTGGCATTGCTACATTCGAATGAATGTGGCTTCAGCTGTGGGTGTGACATACCACACGCTCGTTTCAAACAATACACTCTATTTCTGCTCACACTGACGCTTTTCTACAAGTTGGTTCAGCACTCCGGAGGCTGATTTCCCAACATGCATACTTGTATCCACTGCTGCTCTCCTCCCTCGGGCGTCTCTGGCAGAGAGCTAGAGTGAGAATAAATAAATAATATGAAGGTGTGGTTGGACGTCTGGGATCCTGACTCAGGATTCCATTTCCCTGACAAAGAACCTGGACGGTGTTCGCTTTGGTCGCATAGCAACTTCTTGCAGGAAAGTGGGAACAACCAAAGGGATGGAGCGACAACACACACACACGTGTACCTAACACAACAAGTGAGCTCAGTGGAAAACTGATACAGAGCAGGAGGCGTGCTGCAGGTACTCGCTGCACAGATGTTGTCAGTCAGAGTGGACGATCAAACAGTCACCATCCCTGGAGACATTATGTGTGTGTGTGTGTGTGTGTGAGAGAGAGAGAGAGAGAGCGACAGGGATGAAACTGAAACCTCACAGCTTCTTTTGTGAGCAGATATGTCATCCAGGTAAAATGGTGCCCTCATTGACAGCACACAACCTCTGCTCAGCATCGTCACAAACACTTACATTACGTCAAGGGTAAAAGTAAAAAAATACGTGTTTCATACACATCTTTGTCCTTTTAAACATTATTTTCTTGTTAAATTAAGCACAGCAGCGCCCAGTTTAAATAATCTATCGGTTTTAACCGTATTCTTCCATTTCTATTACAGTTTTTGTCTCATTAGAGACGAGAAGAAAAGTCACAAAATACATCAAACGTGCGGCTGGATTGAGAAAAGTGCAGACAAAATCCACCAAAATAGTAAAACATAAATAAATAAAATTCCCCAGATAAAAAAATTTAAAAAAGAAGTAATTTTAGAGAAACAAGTGAGAAAACTCATCCTCCTTTGGAGCTGCACAGTTCAGACATACATCAATATTACTGAAAGTTTAAACATGTGCACACGAGTGTACCTCGAGAGACTCATTTTGATATCCTAAATGTTTTGGGGTTATTTATTTATTTATCTTTTGTTGCACAGTCCCAGTTTAATTTTATGGATTGTGCAGATTTTATCACGGACTAGCCAACCTTTTTTTTTATTTTTTTGTGATGAAGTCATTCTAACATTTGAACATTTTTCACAAATTATACAAACAAAATATCCCATTTCCACAATCTTTATGCTTTGCATGCTGTTCAGACATCAAAATGTTGGTATTTTTGTCTTCTTTCACCCAATGTGTCACAAACAGCTGCAGGACTTTCTCTCTAATTCCCACAGAAAACAGTGCACACCCAAACTTCCATAGACTTATCTCAGAAGTTTCTCATCACAACTGGAAGTGAAGGTCGTATCTCCAACAGAAAACACTGCAGACTCACAACATTTCACACCCGTGTCGATCAGACCCTTCGCTTGTGGCTCAGGGACTTCTTCAGTACAGTTTACAGGTGGCAACATGCATTTGTTGAGATTTACTTTCTACTCTCCATTTCCGTCTGCCTTAGTGTTGTGGTTCGTGGTTACCACGGTGACCCTAATGAGCATGGCAGCAGCTTCAACATCATTTTGACATTGGCTTTCATCAAAAAGTCTCATATTACTAGTCGTGATATAGAAGAAGGATGATGCTGGATTATATTTTGGGATTGGCACACTTCAAAAGTCCACCAGAATTATTTGGATTGTTTTTTTAATGTTAACCACAAACTTTTCCCCTCAGGTCCTGTCTGCTCTAAAGTTTACAGGGTGAGAATAGTAGGACTTTCCACCGCCCACAAAGAGCTTTAAACATCCTGCAGAAACTAAAAATACCAGAGCAGGAGGCTTTCTGTAACTGTGTCACATTAACTGTCTTTGGCACATCCATTCTCAGTCACCCCCCGCAGCTCAGAGTCACTAAGTCTAAGTGGCATGACAGCTCCCAGCTGATCAGAAAGCTGTGCGTAAAAACAAGGCTGTTCCAAAAATAAGCACCCAAAGGCTCTGACTGCAGGGTGGGGGTGGTATAAGGGTGTACTTACGACCAACACGGATGTCCTCACCACCTCGGAGACACTCTGCCTGAGCTCGGCCGCGGTGCCAGGTTTACTCAGACACCGCGTAAACTTCCTGGTCTCCGGGTGCGCCGGGGTGCCCATCGTTACGCAGCGCTCCGCGCGTCAACCCGTCCAACCCGACGCTCAGAGGGAATCCATCACTGGTTAATCCGTATCGATCCCCACTTTTTGTGCGCACCACGAGCTGGAAGTTGGCTCGTGGTGTTCATTCCCGCCCATCGGTTCCGTCTTCGCTCCTAAAACTCAGCGTGTCCCACATGGATTCTTCCCTCCGTTCGGACGGGAGTGTCACAGTCAGGTATCCTCTTCAGGAGCGTTTGATTGGGCGTGCAGCGGCAAGCAGGAGGTGAATAATCTGCTCTGAAGTCGGCGCACTCCGCCCCCCCGCGGTTAGGACCGGCCCACTCCGGGATGAAAAACTGCGAGTCCTGGACTTTGGACTGCAGGCGGCTGCAGGCCACAGGATGAACAGGAGTGCACGTTTTCCCAGGACAGAAAGTCTCTGTTTTATAAACCTCTACATCCAAAATGTTTTGGGAATAATTATTTTTTGAAAGTCAAATAGCAGTAGCAGCCAGCTGTAGCACTTCCAGTGCAGCATGAGGGGCCATCTTCAACAAGATGAATACAATTGTGTTTCCATCTCAATTACACCAGATGAATCAGACATTTCTATATTTTAATAGCATGCCATCAAATTAATAATTATTGCATTATTATTACAATAAGGCTATTATTACGATTACAACAAGTATTAACAAATTAATAAAGTCCCAATTTTTTAAACCTTGTGCTTCTTTATTGACTATTCCTGAACATTTGTTCAGTTCAGTTTGATGAAGAATCAGGAAATAAAATGTTTAACTTTTTTATCTTACTGAACACAAATAACAGAATAATGTTTTAGACAAAAATATTTGATCTACTTTTAGAAATTCATTTAACCTAATTCAGAAAAAAAATAGCAGTTTGGAAATGTAAGATTAAAACTTTGATGTCTTCCCATTTTTAAATCTAAACCAACAGCGGTTTTTGGATCAGTGCCGCCCTCTGTAGGTTATATCCGGAATTGCACTACAAAGTAGTATTTGCCATCATATCACTGCAATTAAAACAAACAGGAAAAATCTGGGTTTGAATAAGTTTTTTTTTTATTGCTTTCACTTCCAAAAAAACATTTTCGTTGTCTGATAACACTTCACTGCAAAACTGTGTCAAATGCACATTTCCATTCATTCAAACCCATAAAAAGATAAAGTGGCAGCTTCAGTCAGTGAAGGAAAATCATATTTGGAGCTGAAAGTTTCTATTTTTATTTCACACACAATCTTTAAAGCTTTCAATTATGCATTCCTTCATAATAATTTCTCGTACAGCTGGATGGTAACTTCTGAATAAAAAAAACACAGAGTGTTCATAAAACAATGGTATCAAATAGAAGATTTAGTTTCTGAAGACAGCATTAGTGATGATGGCAGCTACCTCTGGTAGTAAAATATTTTCTTATGTTCCTCTTTTTTTTACACAGTCATATTGTGCAGAACCAGTCATGAACCAAGCTTTTACTGTGATTTAAAACCTAACAGGACACAGAGAATTATCCCACACCCCACTGTAACAAAAACACCTTTAAAAAGTCCCAGACGTTGATATAAACTGATTTTGGCACTGAAGTTGCTGGGTGTATTCTCCCTCTTTTTTCAGCTGTTTCCTGTTAAAATTGACAAGTTGAAGCAAAGAAAGAAATGCTGTGAGAATTTAACCGTCTAAGAAATCATTTATATCAGCGTGTTCCTGCTGTAAAAACCGCCCGTGACAAAATGTAAAAGGGGGAAAAGATAGGAAGTGGTCCAGGTTAGAAAACAGTATAAAATGACTTCTGCAAAAAGAGGTTTCTGAGTTGAGAGTAAAAACGCAAGTCTCTGATGCAGTCTAAACCAGCGGACGTGTCACCATTAAAGCATCAAAAAGCACCAACTGTGCATGGACGCATGGATAAATGTCCCAGACGCGAGTAGAATTTAAAAAAAGCACAAAACAAACAAGTCTGTGGGAAGGAGAGCAGGACGGGCAGATTCCACCCATAAGGAGATGACGAGGTGACTCAGTGAGGGTCTTTGCTGTTCAGGACACGAGAATGACTCGAGGGGACCGTAGCGCTGCGGATGACCTCCATCCACCTGCAGGCAGAGAAAGACTTCCTGTCAGGACAGTTTATTGACAAAAAGATGAAAGAAAATGAGGCGACTGTGAGAAACCCGTACCGTTCAAAAGAGTATTCACTCTCTGATCTGAAATAGTACACGTGGGACTTGAAATGCAGTTTGAAGACGTAGTCCTTGTGGACGTTTTCACTGTCGGAGGGGATGGTGACTGAGTAACCCAGCAGCGGGAGGCTGGCCAACGGATAATCATCCTGAGGGGAGATTTGTAAAATTAAATAAAAAGAGGTGCCAAACTCAGTTATGACAGGGGGCCAGAATTAAAAACATGTCAAACCAAGGGTCAGTTTCAGTCAATACATTAACTCCAGTCAAATAACTGACATGCTTTCTTGGTTAAAATCCTCAACAAGAGTTTGATCACTCTGATTTGACGTTCACTGTAGATCTTTTTGCATCAAAATCAAAAATTGCTAATAAATTTAAACTAACTTCAAAGTTGCCCAACTGTCAGGAGAAGTCTGAGATGAGATGACAGACAGACAGACAGACAGACAGACAGACT